GAGCATCTTCCATTGTGCTTGGGTGCTCTGGGTTTGGTCCTCAAGGCTTTGCATACAAAATATGGGCTATAAAATCTTAACTTGTGCTAGGTATGTACCTTTTTTTTGGTGGTTAAGAGAAAATTAAATCTTTTCTTCGTTATTGGTGGTCGTTGCAGTTCGACTGGTAAGTAAATGTCATGCATAGGTTGGTAATGTTTTAATAAGCATGTTATCTAAATGCATGCATATGAAGAGTGCTTCTGTAAACTTAGATTTTTGCATGGACAAATGTCATTTTGGGAAGAGCTTTTTTCAGGATCCAAAGAAAGCAGATGGGGAAATACAGATAGGTATAACATTTAAGCTGCAGAAGAGAGTTGTGTAAACACCTCTAAATAAAGATATAGAAATAGAATACATTTGGCATTTGAATAAAGGTGGTTGAAATTAATAAAAATTATGCTTCTTGTTTAGGAACTATATTTAACATAAGTAAAGCGCAGTGTCATACATTTAGACATCTATTGATGGGTAGATGCCATGAGTTCACTAAGACCTGTGCAAATCAAAGGAAAATTTATTTAGAAGATCTGTGTTTTGATTCACTCTTGCCATGTTTTTATCCTTTGTCTGTGCTTCTGCAACAATATTTTGATAACTTTTTCATGGCTATTTGTAATAGATACTTGAGAACAGCTTCCTGTCTTTGTGCAGATACAGTTCTGGGAAAATAGTATTTATGTTTGAAGAAGCTTGTTTCTTCACAAATCCCTCCAGTACAGGTGTTTGTGGTGGAAGTGCTTGCCCTGTTCTGTGTATACAGACACGTATACGTTAGCACACACACATATATGCATGGATAATATATGCTTTTAATTCATACTAAATTAAATGAGAATTTGTTTATTTCTAGCTTGTTCTCTCTATGTTGCTGTAGGTAAGCGCTATGTTACATGCACGTTTCATTTCATACTGACTCTGTCCAAACTGTAGCTATTAGAAAGTAGATGGGAGAAGGAACCTGCCACAGGGGGAGGTGAGGTTCCTGGCTTCAAAACACGGGGTTTAGAGTCCTGCCCTGAGAGTTAAGGGAGGGTGCCCAAAATACTTGGGAGATGCCGCTGCCATTAGTGGCAGAGAGTCTATAGACTAATATATTTTAGTAAGGTATGTGAGAGAGACTTATGGTACTGTTCTGAGAAACATTTTAACTACAGGTCATACAAGAATATATCCGGAAAAAGGTCTCTTTTTCTGTTTCATCATGATGGTTAAGGTTAGGTATCTTTATAATCTTTTCTTCACTTGCTTGTTTGTTTTTTACAATGAGAAATTGAGATTATTTTTTCCCTCAATAGATATTCATGGAATAGTTATTTTATGACATCTCCTCCTCGATCGAGAGGTTGAAAAATAAACAGGAAAAAAACCCAAAAATAATTTTTTACTACAATACAAGCTTGACCTATTTCTGTTAGGGCACACTGAGTACGCTTGCAATTCACCTGAAGAAAAGTAGCTGTTTGTTAAATGTAGACTGAAGAACCTTGAGAACGCTTTTTTTTTTCTTTTCCCCCCTTTTTTTTGCCCTTATAAATTGTGTGAGGTGGTGATGATGTACTCCCCCCTCCACTTAAAGCAGAGCAGCGTTTAATGTTGTGAACGCGGTTTGGGGAGGGGGCTGTTACATACAGCAGCGCTCTGATCTAATTCCTTTCTCTAGTTCTTGTTCTAATGGAAGCAACAAACATCGTAGAGCTAGAACATCTAATAAACTAGAAAATCTTCCAGGTTGCTTGTGTGTAATGGAGGCTTCCTTTAACAGAGGGGTTCCCCAAAGGGCTGATGGGGGCTCCTGGCAAGGGTCGGACAGGATAAGGTGAGCAAGCTCTTTGCCAGTCGTGTGGTGCAGACTGGAAGTGAGGGGAGTTACTTTCCCAAAACTCTTTATTTTCTGAACTTAAAAAGTCTCTGGATCAATTAAATTACAAACTAGATCCTGGCAGCTGTCGCGCAGAATCTTTCCGTTTAACTGTGGGAAGTGGGTTGGATTTGGGTAACACCTTGAAAAAAACACTGTATTTTCATTGTGCAGCTGGAGGAATAAATCTGGCACTGATCCTCCAGAAAGAAGGATTAATTTTTGGTCAAGATCACATTTCAGGATCCTTGGTCCAGGTTTCAGTCGTCAGCTCAGGTACTGGCCAGAATCAGCGTGCGTAGTGTGAGACAGAATGAAAACCCAGCTCTAGCTGGTGGAATTGAGGATTATTTTTATTAAGCTTGATGTAGGAAAGCAACTAGGCTAAATCCACTGCAGAAGTTGAGTCACACACCATCTGAGGGTGTTTGTCTTAACATATGCCTCTCCATTTATCTAATATTGATGTCAACGATTCCTTGGGTTTCGATACAGTGTTTCCCAGTTTTCTGTTTGTTTCCTTCCTGTAGTGGCTGTATACCCAAAACATTTTGACATTTTTCTTACACAAATTATCTCTGGCCCTGCCAGAAATGTAGTCAAGCCTTTTGGTATCGTAAGTCATTTCGCTAGGTTTTTCCACTTAGAATTTGACTTTTGGGCAATGCATTATTTCACTTCATTTTATTTTCTTCTTTTCTTGCCTGAGGATTTGAGAACAGAGCAGTCTCACTTTCTTTGGGGCAGGTGATATTGAGTCAAAGCTACATCCCTAAGTGGTACTTATGACAGATTTCTGTCTCCCAGAGAATGTTGTTAATAAACTTTAGGTTTTTGCACTTAGCTTTCTTTTTTGCCACCTCTTGATTTTATGTTTGATTAAAAATATGCTTCTTCCAAATCTTGTATGTCTGCTTTAAATGATTTCTCCTACCAGTAAGAGGATGAAAGTGTAAAATTTCTAAGCACTTGAAATGTAACCAGTATATCAATTCTTAGCTGACTGCACCTGATATATGTGGGGGGTTTCTCTTAGCAGGGAGAAAAATGCTGTCTAAAGCATCCTTTTGATTTAATAATGAAAAAGAAAAGCAAGTGGTGCGTTTGATTTAGGGATACAAAACTAGTGTGTGGTTGAGAGGGGGATACAAATTTTTTTTTCTTGTATTTTGCAACCTGGTCTGTGCTGAGCTGCTCAGTAAGTATTGATTAGCGCATAGCCTCGGGATGTACACATGTCGGGAGAGTTCATTGAGGGTCATTTCTTCTCCTGTTCCCACAATGCAGGCTGTAGCACCGTTTCCCTCTTTTTTAAAAAGTATAGCAATTTGAGTACTCCAGGTGTTGGCTTAAGTTGCTTTGCATCAATTAGTACAAGAGGGCTGAAATCTGACAGAAAGCAGAAATGCGACCGAGGGGTGTAAGACATCGAGAAAAAGTGGAATTAAACAATGTGGGAAGCTTTGCCTTTAGGGAACAGGTTGGGGAGGCAGGTTTTTGAGCAGGTACATTTTTGTGTCAAGATCCATTCTTTTGCATTATCAGATTATTGCTTGGCCTATTTATGGGTGAACGTAACAAGGCAGAAGAGGTTTTGAATCACTGATCTTGTTCTTTCTCTCCTTACTGCACATTTTCTGTGTGTCTTTTGTGATCTTTATTTAGTTTTTCATTGTTTATTTACGCTGCCACTGTTACTTCATGAATTCTTTAAATCATTGCCTATCTAGAGGGGAATCTGGACAGAATTATTCTTGCAGCTTTAAGTCTTGCTGACGGGAGGAGAGAAGAAGAGAGCTTTTGTCCCCTAGAGAAATGCAGGAACTGTGGCCATTTAGAATTGGACAGACGTGGTCGACTTTGAGGGAGGTGCTGTGATGGGAGTGCTGTCTTTTATGTTGTTTCCTATCTGTTGGGACCTCTTGTATAAAATCTCTTTTGGGAGACTAGGATCTGTGTGCATTTGCATGCTGTTAGCAGATGGGATAATTATCTTTTTGAGGGACAAT